GGGGGGGAGGGGGCTGTCTGATGGAGACTATCTATGAACTTTATGTTTTGATCCCTATGTTGACTAGTTGTGAAAAACAGCCTACCAGTACTTTCAATATCAAGAAAGGCAGTGGGATGGCGGTTGAAAAGATAACAATAATTTCAGTATCCTTTGTCTTTTAAAATGGGATACAACATTTACAAACTATTGGTGCGCAAAGGCTACAGTCTTAATTGTTAACTTGTGTCGTTGGGTTCCTTAGCCTATTATTAATAACTAGCTGGGCCCCCTTTCGATGAAAGGAATGATCGGTGCATCAGCTAAAAACCAGTGGCCTACTATATTTACACTCTACTGGAATGGAGCAATAGATCTTGAGAGAAAAGTGACACATGTGTTTCCAGTTGCCAAGTAATAGATGTATGGATTGATTCTCTATTCTGCTTTCGTGGTTGTACACTCCAGAATTCCAAAGGTGTGGTGTCAGTGCGCACGGTTAGTGAACGGAAACCTGACTTGTTTACAATGGCGTCTTAGAAGACAAACTTTCCCAAGATTAGATATAAACGAAACTAATGAAAAACAGAAAATTAAACCACAGTGACTTCAGACTCATCAATAAAACTGTGCACTCTTTGAATGATTCTGAACCACTATTGATTTTTTCAAATTTTACAAAACTTTTGTTAGGAAGGAAAATGTTAAATCACAATTGAATTGAATTGAAATAAATGCAACACACAGAGGAATAAAAAGGTAATTTATTGGAAAATTTCGAGTCTAGTACAGAAGGAAGTAGAATCTATGACTGGGAATTATTGAACTTTTAAAAATTCATTTATCTTTCTTTAGTAAAATATATAAGTGGGTTCCTTATCTTAAAGAGAAGAAATGTAAGAGAAGTCTTCCTTTTTGTTGTTTTCTTTTTATAGAAAAGATATCCTGATTGTGAAATAACTTTTATATTAATTTAAATGTCAGTGAATTCCTTTGCATTACATCCCAAAATGGGTAGACCTATTATAACTTACCACATCAGTCATAAAAATGCAGAAAGCTTCCAGTTGGAATGCTAGATTTGGGAACGTTTTCAAAAACGGATAGAGGTATGAATGAGATAAGAAGCCTTCCGCGACGAGCGAAAGTTACACTACCAGACCAGTGAAGCCTACATAATAATATTCCCATGTGTTCAGTGACATCTGATAAAAACAGATAACAGCTGATAACAACAGATAACAACTGATAACAGCAAATAACAACAGACAACAACAAATATCTACACAAACGTCCTAATTTAGTTGTTTTTTCCGATAAATTGTTACTTTCGATTTCGGTGTTTATCTTTGTCGAGATAACAACAAATAATAACTGATAACAACAAATAGCAACTGATAGCAACTGAAAACAATAAGATAACATCAAATATCAACACAAACGTCCTAATTTAGTTACTTTTACTTGGTTTTTAAGGTAGTAAGTTGTTATTTGTTTACTGGTAACAACAGCTAACAACTGACTACCGTAAAAAAAACAAGTAAAAGTAACTAAATTAGGACGTTTATGTTGGTATTTGTCGTTGTTTTATTGTTATCAGTTGTTATCAGTTGTTACTTGTTTGTTGTGTGTTTATCTTTGTCGAGATAACAACAAATAACAACTGATAACAACTGATAGCAACAAATAACTGATAACACAAAAATGCTTTGATTCCAGCCTCAAAAATCAATACATATATTCATGAGGTCAACCAGGCCCCTACTTTACGTGCACAACTCCGAGCAACTACCAGAAGTAGAATATTCTTTAGCGATGACCGGAGTTGTGTCCTTTTTTTTTTGGGGGGGGGGGGGGGTTGTTACATTCAAATCGAAAGTAAAATCGCAAGTAACAATTAATCAGAAAAAATACTAAATTAGGACGTTTGTGTTGATATTTGTTGTTATTTTGTTGTTGTCTGTTGTTATTTGCTGTTGTTTTCACTTGTTATCTGTTTTTATCAGTTGTTACTTTTTGTTGTTATCTCGACAAAGATAAATATCGGAGAGGGCTTCTATTAGGTGTACGTTGCCGCCCACAGAGCAGCTTCCATTACTGTTTAACCTTCTTGACCCACACGTACAAATACAACACACACACACACACACGCACACACACACCCATCTCTTGAAGCACATACAGACACACACACACACACACACACACACACACACACACACACACACACAGTCGGTCGCACACACACACACGCACACACACACACAAAAATATCCAATAGTTTACCGTCAAGCCTCTTTCCGACTCGGAAAACCCCTTCCGCATGTTGACGGGATCAGCAACTTGGGGGAGCCGCCGGCGCTAATCAGCTGAAGGGCCGTCTCATAAGAGACTAACGACATGTCTTGTACCGGGAAAATTATT